CAGAAAGCGACTTTTTCGCGTTTCGCAGCGCGAAACATTTTCGCTGCGGGAACCTCAGGTCCACCGCTGATCATCAGTGGACCCGAGGTTCCCGCAGCGAAAAATGTTTCGCGCTGCGAAACGCGAAAAAGTCGCTTTCTGTCCTAGTGAACCACACCCTTGTGGCAGGGAGCGATCAATCGCTGCCACACCCCTTCGATCAATACCCTTGACTGACGTGGCAGCGATTGATCGCTCCCTGCCACAACGGCCAATGGCACATCACGGCCCGAGCGATGGATCGCTTGCAAAATCGCTCCAATCGCAAAGTCTGACACCGGCCAATGCTCAGGCAGACGTCAGACTTAGCGAATCGAGGCCGCGATTGCAATCGCAATTGCCGCATGCGCCGCAGAGCAAGCCAAACGATCTTCCCTCAGGGTGAAGCGTCCCCCGCAGATGATTCTATCCTAGGCGCAGGGGAGACAGGGTTGCGTCATAGGACCCGCCATTGAAACGCGTGATGTTGTAGCTACCCTCCCCTGTTGAAGCACTCTTCCTCTGAGGGGTCGCGCTGTCTGGAGTCTAGAAACGCAGAGTATGGCTGGTCCTATGACGCAACTCTGTCTCCCTCAACCATAGATCGAATCAGCGGTGGGAGTACGTCCCTGGTGGAAGGACAGGGTACGACCCATGATCTGCGACTTCGTTGTGGTAGAGCGGCACTCGAGAAGCGACAACTATGTTTCAAGTGCGCCGTAACGAAAGTCTCAGGGATTCGCAAAGTCTGACACCTGCCTTATGACTTGTGCTAATCAAGGAAACTGGTTGAGGTTGAACTGAACATGTTTGACCAACCTGAAATATTTTGAGGTTCGACCACCGTACGGCTTTACTCTGAAATATTTTCAGGCTCAAGATTGTACCTACCTTCCAAATTAATGAAATTGATACAAATCCAAATAATCAAAACACAAATAAATAAACAAGGAAAACTGGCAAATAGTAATGTACTTACTGCGGAGGCAGACTGGCACTGACCATTGGCGTTATCTGACTTTGATACTGCTCCACTCTAAAAACGATCTGCCAGTGAGATCACATCAAAAAATTGTCCTGTTTTACCAAATACAAACTACAAGGAAAACTGATTAGTAATATACTTACTGTGGAAGCAGACTGGCATTGACCATTGACGCCATCTGATTTTAGTCCATCTTTACTCTAAAAAGATCTACTGCAGTAAGATAGTATCAAAAAATCATCAAGTTCACTAGATATAAACTGCTGCAACACCGTCAATTAGAATACCTACATCATTCTCTTCTATCTCGACCTTGACCGTCCTTTGAGCCTCTACATCAGCTGTATTCAACAGCAGCGCTCGAGCGATAGTTGACTAGAATTGAGTCCCCATGATCATATTGTTATTGTAATCCATGATACAATATGAAATAGTTTTCGAAAAAAAAAACTTACGAAATTAGCAGATGTTTCCATTGACATTCAAGAAAAACGACGGATACCAGTTCTGAAAATCGATGCTTAGTATACACTGCATCAATGATCGAAGTGATCAAGTTCAACCCAAGGTAACAACTCCCACCACCGAATGGGAAAAGTTGTGCGCTTTTTGCAACAGCCCTAGTTCCTGGGCCAAGCGCGCGTCACAAGACGGGCTAGAGAGTCATATTCAACACATGTTTTTGCTCTTTTATTTAAGTAACATACCACCCTAAAATATACGATATTGTCGCTTCTGTGAGCTGATTCAGCCAACCTAGGATTTCTCTCGAGAAGACCAAACCGCCGAAACGATAGCCAGTCAGATCATAAAACCTTTCGGTTTTTTTAAGCTGACAAAGTCGCACTTACTTCGTTCAAAGCACACAAAGCAAAAGAGGTTGTACTAAAAGCCAGCAGCCTCACGGAGAACACCGGTAAAGTCCAAGCCACACAGAAAGACGATCAAATGGATGGTGTGACTGTTTACTTTGGATTACTACCCACAAAACTGATCCTGCAGAATCCGTCAAACAGACGTAGACAGATGCCGGAACGATTGATGAACGCCTTACCTAACAAGACCAAGTTATGAGAAACGTCGCGAACTATGGCGACGTTGCCCGAAGTGCAAGTTGGCATGAGTCCTTGCACAACCAGCGTCAACCTCTACGACGCTATCTACCAGTAACTTCGACCAAAGTAACTGAGCAGCTCTTTCAGGAGGATGCAAAATATTATAGGCTCTTATCTAAGCACGGTGAGGCGTGATGGCTATACGGTCGCGATGCTACCGTTAAGACAAGGGCGTTGAAAGAAATATTGTTAATCCCAGGAACTACCTTGTACCCATGACGTTTTGCTGGGAGAAGATGACCATTTTGGTCCCACCGTAAATATATCTAACCCCTTGTTCCCGAACCCTGGGGCAATACGTACCTAATGCCCTACGATCGATCCGATCGGACAACCAACTATGGCCGGTGTCAGAGTCCGCGATCGTCGCGCGCGATTGGCGCGACTAGACAGAAACAACATATGCGCGCGATCAAACTGCGCGGTTAGACCGACGTCATAGTCGGCGACGGACCAAGCGATGGAGCGATCGCGATCGCTCCATCGCTTGTCCGTCGCTTGCCAATCGCTCTCGGTCGAGCGATTGGCAAGCGATTGCGCAATCGCTTGCAAAGTGCACAAGCGACGGGCAATGGCTCTGCTCGATCGATACCGCAGCCGACTGCATTGACTGGGGGCGGGGCCAATCGCCCGTCGCTTGTGCACTTTGCAAGCGATTGCGCAATCGCTTGCCAATCGCTCGACCGAGAGCGATTGGCAAGCGACGGACAAGCGATGGAGCGATCGCGATCGCTCCATCGCTTGGTCCGTCGCCGACTATGACGTCGGTCTAACATGACCGCCGGCCAATTCTGGCTTGATGTGATTACGGTGAATTGACGACTGTTCATGATTCTACTTATTTTATATTCAGCGTTTCAAATGCTCAAATGGAACACTTGCGATTTTAGGAATCCGCACGAAACGCGCGAAGGATCACGGACTCTGACATCAGCCTATGCTAATCGAGCGAATCACCCTATTCGCAAAGTCTGACACCCCTAAGGCCGCGTTCATAGTTCGCGGCTCCGGATATTGGATAGTACGCGACAATGAAAAACATATATATTGACGGCGAGATTAGGATAGTAGTAGAGTAGGAGATTGCGCTGACAAGATTAGATATGTATTGATCTATTCGCTTGAAGTCGCCTAATCTACTACTCTCCAGCGATTTCAATCGATACGTATCCAATCTTGTCAGCGCAATCTCCTACTCTACTACTATCCTAATATCCTGTCGCCTACTATCCTAATCTCCCGAGTCAACTATGAACGCGGCCTAAGCTCCCTTAGATCTTTCGTTGTCAAGGCAACACAGCTGACCTATTCTGATAGTGATCACGAAACTTCAAAATGATATCAGTAGATACAGAAATCACTCACTTTCTTTCTCACCCAACGCCAAGAGTTTATAAGTTAAGTCTGGTACCACACTGGCTGATGGAACAAGAGTTGAGTCGAGTGACAATTGGTAACGCTCTTCTGATGGCTTACAATTGCTTCTACAAATGCAAACTTTTAGCACCAGCAATAAAACAGTGGAAAATGATCAATAACAAAAGCGTAATAACTTCGTATAGCATAAGCGCTCATCAAAACGAAATGGTTAAAGCCTTATCGCGGACTGTAGAATTTCCTGGAAGACATGAAGGAACGGAACACTCCTTCAGAACAAAAGAATAACACGATTAGAATAAGAAAGCATTCGGACAGCCGAGATTACACGTAGCTGTTTCCGAAATGGAGTGAGCCGTCCGCAGAGGCACACGTGATTGTATCGATCCCTCGACCACCCACAGCCGCGCCGCAACCGCACGCACGTTCTCGGACGACGGAAGTGCCTTGTGCAGAAATAGCGCGGTACTGCTTGATAGCTGTGGTGTGGGTAATGTTGTCGCTTGTCATCCTCGAAGAATGGATGAAAGAGTTCTAGAAGCAGAAAAAATTCTCGTAGCGAAGCCATGTGGATCTTCGAAGGTCCTAAATACGGACCTGTTCAGAAAAAATAGGGTTCTCACAGGCAAAATCTGGCTCGGGGGCCCCACGTCCAGTCCGTCAAGGGGTTTAGGAACGCTCAGCTTAGGCAAATCCTGGAGAATAAGATGGGACGCGGAACACTCACGCAGGTCTCATTCCGAGAGTTGCTCCTTTCCGCCGTAGTAGTTCTTTTCCCTCTTCAGGGCTTTGCTCTCTTCAAGCAGCATTGCACAGGGTCTCATCCAGGTAAGGGGGTACATATGTGGCTGCCCCAAACGAGAAAATTCCAATTTTGAAAAGGCGGAATTCCCGAATACACGAAACATTTCGTTTTCAACTTTTTACACCCACCCGGGGCTTCCCTCCCTTGCGAAAAACTGGGTTACCTGAGGCGACGTGAACTGCGGCTGAGTGGCCTCCTGCTCCTTTGTTGGAGCACCGAAAGTAGTCGTTTCTGGAATCAAGTAACCACCAATTCTTCACTCCGTGAAGCCGTAGCAATTTGACCCTTCGGCACAGCATCTTGCGTTTTCTTGCCGGGTCAACCTTAGAAGACAAATAAAGCCACTCAATTACATTTCCTCGGTCTCATGCCTACTCTGAAACATAATATGCATTATCTACTCGCTTCCAGTGCTTCTCACTCCTTCCAAGCCGGCTCAACCTAGCCGCCCCTACCCGCAAGTTTCGGCGCATGCTCGGTAAATAGCTTGCTACGTACGCAATTCACACATGTACGTGAAATAATTCGTCTGTCTTTGGAGCTGCGGAAGGCTTTTGGATTTTTTTTGGTGATTACTGAATCTAGTTCACAAAGTTGAATTTTTAGCATGGTATTTCGGAAGTACAGACCAGTCAAGCAATGGGGCAAAGTCGATACACGAGTGTTCAAGGCTATCTTAAAGGCACGAAACAGCAGAAAAATGCCTCGCTTTCAAATTCCGGACGCAGTAAAGGTGTGTTACTTGTTTTTGCGTTTGGTAATTCTTCCCCAATGTTGGTGTGGTTGTTTCGATATAAGAGTCATCCTCCCTATGCTATGGAACGTTTTCAAAGGCTAAATTTGATAGTTTGTGAACTTCCTCAGTAATCTGCATTCACTTTTATGGCAAGGGGAATGCACACACGTTTGTGCCTGATTTGGTGCTCATTTCGTTAAGGGGACATTGCAGAATTTTCCTGGCGTTTCCCTTCTCTCTTACGCTTAGTCCTAGTGTCACTCACCTGCGCTTTTCAAATGCCCTGTTTCGAGGTGTGGTTCACTAGGTCAGCAAGCGACTTTTCCGCTTTAGCAGCGCGAAACTTTACTCGCAGGATCTTCAGGTCCACCATTGATTAGAAGTGCACCTGGGGTTTCGCATGGGAAAAGCGAAAAATTCGCTTTCTGTCATAATGAACCGCACCCTCTTTCGAATGTCCCCCTCCTAGGGACATGAGCCCTCTCGATTCCTTCTCGCAAGGAAATCAGGATATTCTATTTATTGATAATTGCTGGTAAGAAAGCATTCTAGAGGAGAGAGATCTCTGCCAAACCTACTACAACAAACAGCGCCCCAGGAAAACTCGTCCACCTATTTACCCTTTTGAAATAAGACGGGTTTTCAGCTCGACGCGGATCGTTTTTACTTTCTAATAGCCAGAATTAACTCATTGTGCGATGACAAATAGGAGAAAGAAGCGAAAAATACGAAGCGTAATATAAAAAGCGAAGTGTTGTAGGTGCCTCTGTAAACCATTCCATTCACGAACGATCTCGTTGTAGGCGGCTGGAATCACTGTGTACGATCCCAATGATCCCTCTTTCATGACTCCTATTATTGGAACAGGGCAGCCCTTGCCGGATTTGCGTATGGATCATCCTGCATTCAGAGTGCCTTCAATTGAGGTATTTTTTCCTTATTTAATTCCTTATCAAAATCTCACTTTTGCAGGCGCATTTTTGCAAGCAAATTTATCCTAGTTTCAGGAGCATCCACTCTACCACGACACTCGGTGCTTTCTTTTTGATGGAAGTATTCCAATGAGTGACGGTATCGATCAAGCGGCTGTGCTGAGTAAAGCTATTGTGAGAGAAGGTTTGCCAGAGACGGTGATTCATCGTGCGGCGCATGTTGATATCTCCGAAGAGCAGGTTTGTTATTCTCCTGCTCTTATTTGGTCTATAGTCTCGGGGCAATTTGGAAAGTACATCGGTGTGTTGAAATAATCCCAGATCTCACAACAAAATGTGTGCAGGTTCGCGATGCAATTCTTCATGGTGAAAAATATGATCCTACACTGGAAAAGTTGCCAAGAAGATTTGATCCTGTGCTCTTCTGGGTGCAACATATTAGGGTCCATGGAACACCAGTTATAAAGCGACTGTTAGTTTGTATTATTAGCTTTTTTAGTCGTATACTTTCTTTGCACCTTAGAATCTGTTATTTTGAAAAGTGTCGCCATTATTCTTTTGTTTTCAGAAATATAATACTCGACAACCTTTCGCGTGCCGTCTTGTTTTCAGAAATCCGGAACGGGAACAATTCTGACCATATACGGTATGTTGTTTTCGATCGAATTCATTTTGTTTCAGTCTGGTTCTCTGTCCTTTAATTTCATGTTGAAATCATGGCTTCTCTCAAGTATTTCCCTTTCTAAACTGTATCAGACTCACAAGGATGTAGCGGGTTAGGTTTTCCAACGCCTCAACTTATACTCCCCGAGCTCAACTCTCGCGCTGAGATCTTTTTGGCTATCTTCCTTGGTTCAAAAAGTGGTATTTCAAATAGATTACGCGCTGCGAAGGGGTTTTGTACTCCCAAGCGGCTATAAAAAGAAGTCGAACATCTAATCGTTATCCTTCGAAGTGCGAGATGTTTCAGAGTCGATAGAGATGAACCGCTCAGCGCCACATTACCAACTGTTGGATCATTCGCTCCAAGTCCGCTAGTGCTTCGCTTCCAACCTCACGTAACTCTTCAAGGATCCAAGCCAATCAGTCCATGGGCAACAGCTGATGAAGTTGAAGAAACAAGGTAAGTTGTTCATGCATCTGCTATGCATCCGCATCATGCGATCTGCTTTTTCTGTAGTACA